TATGTACGACCTCATCAATCTTCCCCAATTTCATTGCGGCAACGCACCTTTGTGAGCAAAATGCTTTGCATTGTACCTTTCTGGGAGTGAAAAATTCTTTTCAATTTAAATGCAATGGGAATTCATTGCTCTAAAGCCTCCAGAACGAGACATGGCGGTGAAGTTAGATGAAACTTATTAGCGGGTGTGACGTAAACATGCATTGTAGCAGCCCGAGTATCAGGCCTTCCTGAGGGGCTAGGGGAGAGGAGATTTTAGATGGGGGAGGGGGAGGGGGCAGAAGAGAAAGGAAGTTTCTCTCCTTCAGCTCTCTCTTTTTTCGCTTCCATCTTTCCCCTTTTCCCCAGAAACGCCTGATACTCAGGCTAGCATCGTAGCTATGTGTTGCGCTTTATACGCCGAAAGATTACTCGCCCTTATTAACCTTAATTTTCATCGGGCATTCGACCTTTTACTGGCGAGCGTCGCTCGTGGGAAGAAACGCGCGCGTGACCAAACCCGAAGAAGGTCGGCGCGCGGGGGGGAGCTTTCTTAACGGCCCTCGTTCTATGTTTCTTCACATGGTGCCCCAGTAGCAGTCACGGGGTCTATTAATATGTGACTTTATTTGTTCTGTTTAGGTCGACGTTATAGTCCAGTGGGAGATGCAAGACCAGGACAAAAATATGGTTTACTGTTGGATTGTGACGGCCCATGTGAGCGGCTAAGTCGCTAAGTCATGATGACTGACGTGATTATGAATGTGTAAAGTTATGATTGTATGACTCAGAGATGGAATGTTTTTTATCTCAATTCATTTGTTGAAATAGGATATGCCGTCTTACAAAAATAAAGTCACTGAATTCAGTTTTCTTAGTATTTTTGTTCATTGGTTGTCTTGTTAAGTTCTTCACACAATAGTAGACTTGAAGTCCCATTCTTCACAAGCTGGAATATTTTCACCGCTTAACTTGTATGGTAACCCAAGACAGTACTGCCAATGGGGTGAATCCGACCGACCGATTTTAAATCTTAAAACGGATTTCGCGTTCCTTTCCGCAAATCCAAATCCGGATATCCTTTTCGAAAAAGGATTCATTGGATTTGAATTCCAAAGAATCTGAATCCAGAATAACGGATTAGCGATCTACGCTGTTCCATTCACAGTGAATCCGAAATTAGTCAGATGATCCAGTGGTATTTCTACTTGAAGTATTGCGCCGTAATTTCCAAGTTGAATCGCTGCTATTTGCCCTTAAACACATCCGAAAACACTGGAAGATTGTTCCTGGTACAGTAAAATTTCCAAATGCTAACCATTATATTTGTAAGTAAAAGCAGGGCTCCTGGTGAAAGAGACAAATGAACTGCTATCTTTCAACAACTCGCTTGTAGACGTGATAGGCACTAGATCGTGTTACATAGAAAAAGTCTGAGCTACGAAACTGGATAAAACTGAGCCGACAACCTTTAGATAATTGTCAACTTGAACGCTCTTCTTTCTTGATCTGTTATGTTCCATCGTCGCTATTCGTATTTATTGCCGACCACAAAATTCTGCACCGTATAATCGCTTAATTTGTCAAACAGTGCAAAACACGCCATTTCTTGAGAGGCTGTCATGCATTATATTGTACGTTTGCGAAAGGTTGCCAAGGTTAAAATCAATTTCGGATTTCGCGTTCCTTTCGACCAAGAAATCCGGCAAATCTACGATCAAAAATCGGTTTTTGAATTCACCGAAAGGAGCACAACCAAAAACAAATTTTATTGATTCCGAATAGGCTAGATTCCATCGTTAGCGAGATGCCATGGGATTCTTTGATTCCAAAGTCCAGGATTCTGGATTCCACTAGTAAAATTTCCTCGATTCTGGATTCCAAAATCAAAGATTTCCTGTTCCGGAATACAGGTAGCTTACGTGGGCGAATTGGTTTTCGGAAGTCTCAAGTTCAGCTCCACAGCCAGGATTGTAAACGGCCAACTCATCATCGTTTGCCTCCTGCCAGTTTTGGTTTGATTCAGAGGCACTTTCCATAGCACATTTTTGAACATTAAAACTGTAAAACTAAGCATCGAGAAAATTTTAGCAGATCTTGCGCGCGCGTTTGAAACAGCACTCTCGAATTGTCATAATCTGGATTAGGCAAGAATTTCCCCTCACCACATTGCATTGATCTGATTTATTCAATTTTATTTTTCTTACCTCTTTAGTCACAAGGCCATGATAGTTCTTTCCCCACCCCTCCCATTTTCGAACGAATGAAGCCATGGGAACGATCACATTTTTGTTACCATTCCCCTCGCATCCGTCGAGGCTAACTCCATGTAAACAGGCCCTAAGTGGTCCTTGTGAGTTCCCATATCTAGATGCGTATCGAACCATGTGCCTAAATTGCGCGCAGAGGCTACAGGAGAGACTTCAGTCTGCCCAATCTTCATGCTTTGGATTGAAACTTTTGAGAGCTGCTGACGAGTACCTATAATCAGGAACTCAGTCTTGTCATCATTGAGCATCAGCTGATCCTCCCTCATCCATGCTCGGACATCGCAGATGCACATCTGCATGGCTGATACAGCTTCGACTTCACTGGAAGAGTCAGAGGGCTTAAAAGACAAATACAACTGTGTATCCTCAGCATAAGTATGGACGGAGGGCAGATGGTGTTTTAGAATCTGGAACAGCTTACTCACGTAGATGGTAAATAAAAGCGGGCCCAGGCACGACCCTTGAGAAACTCCACACTTCAAATCAATCGGCGTTGAGAGAGTTTCGTTGATAGACACTTGCTGCGATCTGCCCTTAAGGTAACTCTCAAACCATGAAAGTACTTTCCCCCGCAATCCAATTGTTGACCTCAATCGTTCCAGAAGGATCTCATGTTCGACGGTGTCGAATGCAGAGCTTAAGTCGAGAAGCACCAGCAGCGTGACTTGATTCCACGATGTGGATTCCATTTCTGCTAGGAATTCGCACCTCACCCAGGGGGGGACGAACGACCACGATGACCATGCCTGTGAACCGAATAACATCACAGTGCAAAATAAAATTATCGCAAAAATACTGCCTGTGATTAAATTTACAACTCTGAAATTTTAGTCACTCCTTCCTTCAATGAATGGGTATTTTTTTCTTGATTATTATGTTTTGCTCTACAATACATGTTTATACAGATCGGTTCACAGGCATGGTCATCATGGTCGTTCGTCCCCCCTGCATGGGTGAGGTGCGAATTCCTCGCAGAACCGCCGCCCGTGCTCATTTTGTAGTCATAAACAAAGGTGCTGGACAGTTCTGTCTGAGCTCTGATACGAGGTAGCGTCCAATCTCAATACTTTTTTCCTGAGTTGGAAGCAACGAACAGCAGTAAAAGTCGTTGAAAATGCATTGCAATACATCAAAATGTATGCAGCAGGAGTTGGAGCCAAAACTGCCAAGGGATATTTTAAAAAGGTCGAAGAACAAGTCACTCTACTTCAGAGCAAGGTTTGGAGCAATTTATAGTGCTTCTAAAACTAAAAAGTACCTTTTAAGGAATAGTACGATAGGCAATCGGCTCTTGTTTTAAGAATTAGCAAACGTTGAATTTACTTGTCCCGAAAATTCAAACTGGTGGCTCTTTCTTCCTGATGGTAATTTATTTTTGAAATTCCAAAACAATTTCACAGCTGAATTTTGAGCGACTTTTAGTTACCGACTTCTGCTCCAACGATTTTTCTGAAATTCCTCTGGCATATTTATTATATCAATTAAAGCCGATACCAGAAATTTCAGTAAAAAATATCACCAAAATTTTTTACTAGACGCGATTTTCTTTGAAATGTAGGGTCCTTTTAAGCGCTAATTTCTCAAGAAATATTTACCATCAATGAAATCGGAATATTTCGTATTATTGCCGAATGATATTTGTTGTTCTTTGCGAAGTTTCGCAGCCATCGCGTTAAAAACCAAAAAGTTATGACGGAAAATTTGTCACAGCTAAAATAATGCTCTTGTATTAATTACGGAGCCACCTTAAATTCCTTTCTCGTCAAATTCTGACGCCTAGTTACAAGTGACTCAATTTGAGCATAATACCTCCAGTCGAGCATAATTTTGAGCATAATACCCTAGTTTCACGGGTGACGCCCGAAAGCATAACACTCTATTTTTCGAGCTTAATCCAGCAGACCCTACTCAAGATGGCGAAGTTAAGTGTTCTTGCTGCCATTTCACTGTGCAGTATTGTCCTTGCATCTTGTGAACGTGTTAAATATAGGGATTGTGGTAAGTGATCGGTTCGTTATAGTTAGTTATCCAGTGTTCGATTTTATGTAGAGCGAACTTTTTTTATTTGCTACTACAAATAAAAATTGTGCTCTTTCAGGTCGGATTCGACCGGAGTTTCGCTTTTCTTGCCATTTTTGTTTTAGTATGTCAAAAAGAAACCCGACCAAAGGGTATTCAATGGAAAAAACACTATTGATACTAGTAACTTAGAATAGAGCTTGACACGGTTTTCGACCCCATCTTGACGAGTAGGCGAACGCGTGAGAAATTATAATAGTGTTTGTTTGTATGAGAATCCACTGTAGAATAATTTCCGTAAAACGGCTGTTCGGGAAAAAATATCAGGGGCACTCAAAGTCAATTTTCGAAAAATATCTGTTCGGAAGACGATTTGAGATCTAGAATGTTCGGAACATTTGTTGTAAAATTTCTTGCTTGACTGCCTCTCCTAGGATTTTCGAACATCTAAAAAGTGGTATAATTGCCCATTTTTAACGGATTTTTACCCTGAAAAGGTCACCTAGAATTTTCGGGAACCCTTTTTCTGGCTGAAACTTTCGAAAAGGTAAGTTTTGATCCCTATAATTTTCGGATCACTAGACTTTCAGCTAGGAAATCCGAACAGATGAAAACTTTTTAGGGGATAAAAATATGCCTATATCTACCGTTTAAATACTAAATACGTTCAACAATGCTATGTTTAAGTGGTTTTGAACTATATTCTCGTTGGGTGCCCCCTGAAATATGAACT